AAAAGCGAGACATAGCGATCCTACATTCCGTCGTCGGCGTCGTCGTCGTCGTCGCCGGCGGCGGCGGCGTCCACAAATATTCACTCTGTGGTTAAAGTTTTTGAAGTTTTAATAACTTTCTTAAACTATCCTGGATTTCTACCAAACTTGGACAGAAGCTTTTTTATGATCATAAGATAGTATCCAGAAGTAAATTTTGTAAAAATAAAATTCCTGTTTTTCCATATTTGACTTATAAATGGACTTAGTTTTTCTGCCAGGAAACAATACAGTCACTCTGTGGTTAGAGTTTTTAAATTTTTAATAACTTTCTTAAACCATCCTAGATTCGTACCAAACTTGGTCAGAAGCTTGTTTATTATCAAAAGATAGTATCCAGAAGTAAATTTTGTAAAAACAAAATCTATTTTTTCCGTATTGTACTTATAAATTGACTTAGTTTTTCTCCCAGGAAACAATACATTCACTCTGTGGTTAAAGTTTTTAAGATTTTAATAACTTTCTTAAACTATCCTGGATATTTACCAAACTTGGACAGAAGCTTGTTTATGATCAAAAGCTTGAATCTCGAAGGACATTTTGTCAAAATTTTGTACCTGTTTATCCGTATTTTACTTATAAATGGACTTAGTTTTTCTTCCATGTAACATTACATACAGTATGAAGTTAAAGTTTTTAAAACATTTATTAGATCCATAAACTATCCTAGATTTATACCAAACTTGGACAGAAGCTTCTTACAATCAAAAGATAGTATCGAGAGGAATATTTTTATTGATTTTTTTCCTCATTTTTGTTGAGCCTGCGATTAACAGCAAAAGTAGGCGAGACACTGGGTTCCGTGGAACCTTTACGAATTTTTTTATCAGATGACAAATGAGAGTGTGGATAACCTTTGAGGTAGAATAAGAGTTCAAGTTCCAGCTAAATTTTGAGTTAAAGTTCCAGTTTTATTTTTAGTTCGAATGTTAATTCGAGTAAAAGTTCTAGTTAAAGCTCGAGTTCCACTTAGAGAGTTATACTGTAAGATAGAATAAATTCTGGTAAGAGTAAAAATTTTGAGATCCGATGAAATTAAAAGAAAGATTGCAGTTTCTATTTTCTGTTGGTGCACCTCTCTTTCTTGAATTGTATATTCTTTTATCACATTTATGTTTCAGTATGGTATAGCCTATAACTGATTAATGATAGGTAATTTGAAAATAACTGATTGATTGTGTGTGCCACTTTCAGCACTCTGCTATATCATGTTGGTCATTTTTTTTTAAAGAACCAAGGTATCAAGAGTAAATCAGCTACCTTTGTATTAAACAAATGGTTGTCCTTTACAGTCATGATCGGAATCTGACAATCTCCCTATATCACTGTTTGTTGACATGCAAGTGATCACATTGAGTGATCTGATCACGAACCTACATCTAAACTACTATTTTTTGTTTTGTTTTTGTTTTTTTCTTGATTTTTGCAAAACTTTCAGTGGCAAATATTACATGAATATCAGCACAAATTTTTTTTCTATATGAGATGAATACTCTTTCACAAGACGGACCTTAATGTGATGGTTACAGTTTAGCACTCTGAAATACATGTTTCTCTACATAAATACATGTGTGTGTGTTAAATATTTCTCTTGTAGGAGACTTGTAAAGCCAAATATACAGTGTGGATTTTTTGTTGTTGTAGGCAGTACGGTCATCAATAGGACAAAAATAACTAGGCATAGTGTTTGATATTCCCAGATTGCTCTGACGTCTAGCGGCCTTATTTTTTAATTTGCTGGTCGTACAGTTCGCTATAATTGACAGTTTGAAGAAATACTACAAAATATGATTTTTTTTTGTGCCCAAATTATGTAAGCCTGTACAAAGAATTAAAGGAAGATTGAGTATAATGTACTATATAATACGGTGTTAAATTCTGTTTGATTTCGACAGCCAGCAACCGATGTAAAATTGTGTATGCTTCTTTTACAGTGATGTTTAACTGCATGGCGTTATTCTTAAATAACGTTTGATATTTCAACAAATATGATTACTCTACGAATCACTCGTGTTCATGTGTTTGTGCCCCCCCTTCCCCCCCCCCCCCCCCCCCCCCCCCCAAAAAAAAAAGAAAAAGAGAGACAGAGAGAGAGAGGCGTTTGACACCAAAGGAACATCGAAACTCATTGTTCTTATTTACATCCCTCTGTTGGAAAGAAAACTACAAATTCCGGAAATTGTACGCTTACATGCTGTTACTCTTGGTATATTGTTATTTTATTCCAGTATATTCCCACATACCGCATCGCGACGATACGATGCCAACAGTTGGGTTACACTAATGACAGGACAATTGCCTGTATTGACCGGATGATATATAAATAGTCAGAACTTTTTTGTTATTTGATAGATTATTTTAATATTTGAAGACCTTAGAAATACTAGACTATATTTTATGAAAATCTAATAAAAAAAAGTTGACCGGACGGATTTCACACTCACTGATGTACGCTTTACATATATTGAACTGATCGACAAAAAGTGTTACTAGTAATATCTCTTTTGTTTTACAATATTTTTTCATACAACTAAGAAATCTGCGAGATCAATAGTTATCTTATATGAAAATTTAAACTTTATAGTAAAACAAAATGTTTTTCTAAAAAAAACAAAGTTGACCGGACGGATTTCACATTTGCCGATGTACGCTTTGATTATACTGAAATGATCGACAAAAAGAGTTATAAATATCTCTTTTGTTTTTAAATTTTTTTTTTCTTCGTGAAACTAAGAAATCTGCGAGATCAATAAATATGTTATGAAAATATAAACTTTACAGTAAATAAAAATAATAATAATAATATCTTTATTTAAAGAGAGTAACTCATTTGAACCCAATCGTAAGGTAATTCATATCAAGACCATATCAAGACCACTTTCGGCTATTTTTTTGCCATACATTTTGTCCGTTTCGAGTAGAATTTTCATCAAAACGTCATTTGCTTTTTCTGCTTTAGTGAACGTCCCTTTGAGCGGGCCGCCATTTTAGAAATTAGCAACCTTTACGACGGACTCGAAAACGGCGACGTCATAATACGGTCACGACACTATAGCGGCGCCGAGAGCGATGCGTATAAACAATAGTGTGATTTCCCTTTAAATAGTTCTGTTACCTATCAATAAACTTGTTCAAAATTTTCTACCATTTCAAAAAAAGATCAAAAACTAAAATGGCCGGGTTGCGCAGAATGTTTCTTAATCAATGGAAGATGCTGTATACTGAATTTTGAAATAATTCCTCAAACAATTCCATAATAGCAGGTGCACAACTTCAACATATGTGCAATCTTCATGTTAAGTTTCATGGATCTCTGCTGAAAATAAACTAGGTCTACACTTCTCCTCGCCTGGCATTATCATACTATAAGCTGCTTTTGGACTTTGTTCAACCCGGCCATTAAAACAAAGATTAACAAAAGTTTTTTGCATTGAAAATCAGATTTGTCTCTTAACAGCAAGACTCTCATGTTGATGGGGAAAGATTAAAAGTTAAGAATATTGAATTCACATTTTTTTTTTATCTAAATATAGGTCTGATGAGGGTCTGATAATAAAAATAAAGTGCTAACTTGACAAAACAAATGATTATGTTTACTTGTATTAAACCCCTTCCACAAAGCAATTAATCAATATTTTTTTTTATGTCAAACAATTCCTAGTTTCCATAAGAGTAAATCCACATATTAATAACAAGGTTAAACGATTTGATTTGTTACATTACGCAATTTTTTTTTTCATAAAGCACAAGGAGCAACAAGAGCCCACTTAACTGAAAATGAACCTGTTCAAGAAAATTTCTATTTATGTCTATTTTTAAGTTGATTTTATAAAAAGATGACAATAACAGGTAACTCAGTATCATGTACTGCATGTGTTGACGTGCTTAGCATACCCAACTAGTTATTCAAAGTATCAGAAAACATGAAGATGATATATGACTGATCGGAAAAGCACACACATTTTCCAACTCACCACTTTTAATCTAGTGACCAAATATGAAGTTATTTTGCTAAGTAGTTTTTAGAAAAAAAAATTAAGTTCATTCAACATATTTCTCTAAGAATAGCATGACAAAATATTTGTTGGACGAACAGTTAGACAGATGGACAGACAAAGTGAATGCAATATAGCCCCACTTTTTGGGATGTATAATTTTCAATAAATGTAATCATGCTGTCATGGAAAGTTACTCATCGGTATTATTGGTAAATAAAATATAAACTTTATTCGATTTTCAAACTGTTTTTGGATCCACAAATATAGATAACATGCAGATATCAAGCTCAATAAACTGTTTCAGTGTTTATCAACAGGAACAACACCTCTTAATAAATATTTACTGGGTTCTTGTCTGTGCTTTATATTTCCTATTCACAAATTTATTTGACAAATATCTACATGTGCATTGATAAGTGATATTAGAGATAACAATTCTATAAGGAGATTTGTTTTTGGGTTCTCTAGCTTTTACCACTTTGATACAATAAGAATCTAAACATACTACAATTGAATGAAGAAGATGAACATCTGAAAACAGTATTGTTTTTACCGTCTTTTTGGATATTAATAATTATAACATAATAAAAATATTCTTTATATTTAAAGACGATAACACAATTAGCTAAAATTTTATCTTCCCTGAGGCCCTCATGAAGTGCAATGAAATATAACAAACAAAGAAGTACAAAATAGTCGAACAAACAAACACATAAAACAAAATCAAATAAGACATGGTAATGAATATGCCATTTTTCCAACAGGTAAAAACGATGAATTCATACAGTATTGACATCATACAAATTACCTCAACAATGTTCAAAGTTCAAGTGTGTGACAAATATGCAGATGATTTACATTATGGTATTTAATCCCATGTATGAGACATAAAAAAGTTAAATTGGCATCAGATTTCAATGCTACTTTTATGCCTTATTAATTTGTTTGTCATTTTATTTTAAGAAACTACTATACTATGCTGAAAAGGAAGTAACATGTTCATGTCAAAGACAGAATCCTGATATTCATAGTAAGTGTTATCACACTCTCTTTATTTACACATATGCTATAATGTCATAATATTAATTAATAAATAAATTTGAAGCTTTGCCGTTGTCTTTTAAATTCCACACGATTCCATGGGCAACACGACGGGTGCCACATGGAGATCAGGATCTGCTACCCTTCTTGATATCACTCCCGGTTTTTGGTGGGGTTAGTGTTATTCAGTCTTTTGTTTTCCATGGTGTTTTTTGTGTACTTTAGTTTGTCGTTTGTCGTTTGTCGTCAATCGTTTTTTTGTCATGGAATTGTAAGTTTGTTCTCTACTTATGAATGTGAATGTCCATTTGATATTTTTGTCTCTCTCTTTCAGATGAACAAAATTATTCTGTTTATCAAAATATCAATATTGTGTAGAATGAAGGTTTATTTTAAAATAAAAAAGTGTTTAAAGTAAAGTACATCTACATTCTACTGGAAACATACGAATTAAAATACAAATGCAGTTAAGACTATGTATGTACTTAAATTATATCAATGATAATGCTGTGCAATCAATTCTTTCACGGATCTTCACATGTGAATTGTTGAAGTTAAATTTTGATCAATTTAATTTTTTTTAAATTATTTTAAAATTACACAGATTTTATGTATCAAATTACCACATTTATATCCTATCTACTCTAGGAGTTCCTTTCTTACTATATCATTTTAAACAATTTCATTTATTTCATGTATAAAGAACAAGAAAGAAAATCCTACAACCTAGGACAAACTATCTTCTATGAACATCACCAATTTACAAGATTATCCTCAAGCTGTTATTTTGATTGTAACAAAGCTGTCATAACAGATGATGGACTTGTGGCCTGTATACATACGGAAGATTCCTCAATAGAGATTTATAATACAGATGGTTCACATGTTGGTACAATACCCCTACAGAGTAAGCCATTTGATATCTCCGTAGTCAACAACTCTATAGTAGCTGTTACACAGCCTGGCTTATATAGAGTAGATATGTGGGACATAAACAAAAAACAGAAAGTTAAATCGATACAATTATCTACCAAGTGCTTTGGCATCACAACTATGAACAACAAGGTAGTAGTGAGCTGTAGACGAAGATTGTTGATCATAGATCCTCAGACAGAGGATACGGAGAAGACTATTGATATTGGTGATCATATTCCTTATGCTCTCAGACTTTGTGGTTCTGGTGATAGTATATTTTACACTTGTGGTGTTAGTTATTACCTGTTCCATTACAGTCAATCTAATAACAAGATTTCAAAAGTAAAGCTACCATCAAGGCTCAGAGATATAACCCTACTACAAGATGGCAGTGGATATATGATATGTATGGATGGAACAGTGCAACATGTATCATCTGATGGAAAGAAGTATAAAAAAGTTACTACAAAGGGACTGACCTCTTTGAGATGGCTTACTGGAATATATTATAATCAGGTAAAAAGGCAACTGGTCATTACAGATGGAGACTCAATTACAGTGTTTAACGAATGCTGATATATACTAGGATTTAAAAATGTATTTTCTTCAATATCACCAAAATGAACTAGTTACTGCAAGGTATTACAGTGAATGTGAGAGATCTTGAGAGAGGATAGAGAAACTATACACTATTTATCTTTTATCTTAACTTTGTAAACAGCCACATCCGTTGTTTCTGACTTTGTATACCTGAATGAATGTTTGGATAACGGACTAGAAAGTCAAACATGTAAACATATATTGGGTTTTCTCTTTCACTAAGTTTCCAATTACAGCAACACGTGTAAGCCGTTTAAATCACTATATGTTCTATGCAATATTAATTTTGTACAATATCGTAGAAAATAGCATGTACAGGACTACATTGATTGGAGTGATAGTAGAACAAGAACAAAGAAAACAATGTTAATTGAATTCCTTGAGGTAGATGTGTTTCACTATAGTATTGCAAGAATTGATTGTACAAAAGTAACAGTCAAACTTAGGCTACATGCATAAAAATTTCCCTGAATTAGCCAGATTTCGGGATGTTTGTCCTATATATAGGTTTTCCTTAGGTTCTAATGCATGCCACAAAATAAAATAAAACTAGTATCCTTTTAATAACTACAAAAATACATTCATCTAGGTATCACTGACCTAATCCATTAGAGTTATTATCTGTAGTATACGTTGATCCTGTCGTAAATCATCCCCATGTTTAAACATAGTTACACATTCACTACCTGTTTATAAAGTCAGTGTACACGGCATCAAAGCACTCTATAAAACATTGTTCAAAATAAGACAAGTAAATATATATACATATATCTCCCAATCTCAGTAACATATCAAATTTTTTACTTAGATCATTATTGAAAGCTTTTCTGCATTGTTCAACATAGCAACTGAAACTGAAGTAATGTAGGAAAAGTAAATGAGATAGCAACAAAACAAAATAAAAGTTGAAAAAATATAGACATTTAGATGTCACCATATGTATACTTCGAAAATGACCAGTACTTACAACTAACGTAAGCTTAAAGTTCTTCCCATGGAAAAATCATGAGCTAATGAAGAGACTAATCAGTGAACCCCCAAATCAAAAAAGTTAAAAAGACCAAATGAAGTACAACATTGAAGCACATTCACAACTTTGTTATACATATCTATTATATATCCCTTTTCTTCATAAAAGCACAGGACTTTAGTAATGTAGCCTTCTCAACACAAATACCATTCATTTTCACATTAGTATCCAAGTCATCAAAACTGGAAAAGTTTATTTTGGTTACCTCATTGTCTTGCAGTAAGGCTCTATGTCTTTCTATCTAAAATGTTAGTAGTTGAAACTGTTAAAAACAGTTATAAAACATTACAGTCAACACTGTTGATGAATACTGCTGCTTCGTTTAGTTTAATCTGTGAGTAGAGCTCACAATTGCATGACACCCACAATACAGATATGCGTTAATCCATGTTTTGTTATTAGAAACCCTAAAATTCCTTCAGGGCAAAGCTATAAAAGCAAAATGAAAAATGTTATAAAGTTTTCCTGACAATCATGTGTTGTTCAATAAAATATTATAATGATAAAAACGGTTTACCTTTTTCCTCCTATTTCCAATTTTTCTTGTCACAGCCTTTACGATGCTTATTAATCTTTCTATGAACATTTGTTGTCTCGCCAGAGTAGCTCTCTTTAAACGACATTCCTGGCCACCCCTGTTTCCTTATTGCATTACTGATCACTCTATGCCTATACTTAAAACATTTAGTAAAAGCAATTTTGAAACATTTTCCTGACATATGAGGTACACTGTTCATATTTAAAAAAAAAATTCCATTTCGTTTTCAAGTTTTTTTTTTCAACTGAAAAATTCAGATATCATGTCTATTTATATTTTTATAGTGTGCTTTCCATTTCACTACAAAATTACTAGAACTTTGGTTGAACTCCCAAAAAGATATCCTCTGCCGTGGAAATTTAATTATCTCCCCTTTTTACATGTTTACTTGAGATTTTTTTTTCTTTTTAAGATCGGTTATATCAATATTTGTCCAATTTTAAATGAGAAATAATAACACTTACTTCATATAGATATAAGCAATAGGGACCCGAAGCACGGCGAAAATATCACATAACATGCAGGCTGGTGTTTTCATATTTTTGTTATTTTAAGTTTCAAAATCCGCCAAAAAATACATGAAACTTACATTGTGACGACGACAATAGTCTTGACGTTACACCTGCTAAATTTGAATGGTCAAAATTTCGAAATGGCGGAGAAATCTCGATTTGAAGCATTGAATCCAGATCGGAATCACTGAAAAAAAGGAAATTTACGGAAAAGGTGGAGCAGCGGGCGGTTATAGAGTTTTGTGTAGACATCGGGAAAACGCCAACAGAAACACACAAATTCTTAAAACAGTCCGAGAAACATAGCAAAGTTAGTCGTTCATTGGTATTCAAGTGGCACAAAAGGTTTTGGGACGGAAGAGACAATTTGGAAGACGATGAGCGGGCAGGTAAGCCATCTTTCAGGAAATCAGATGCGAAAAAAGATGAAGTTCTGAACGTTATCAACAGTGACCGGCGACTAACAGTTCGCGAAGTTGTAGACAAATGTGACATTTCTAAGACTACAGCGCACCACATTTTAGCAAATGATTTAAATATGAATCGAGTATGTGCTAGATTGGTACCGCGACTTCTTACAGCAGAACATTTAACAAAAAGAATGGAATTGTCAAATCAATGTATTAAAAAAGTTTCTACTGGTGGCATACGATTTCTAGACAGAATAATTACAACCGACGAAAGCTGGTTTCATTACTACGATCCGGAAACTAAACAACAGTCAAGTCAGTGGAAAAACTGTAACTCACCGCCACCAAAGAAGGCAAAGATAACCAAATCAATGGGAAAGAATATGTTCATTCTCTTCATGGACAGAAAAGGAATGTTACTGACACATGCTGTACCCCGTGGCCAGACTGTTAATTCTGAATACTACTCCAAGGTATTTAACATACTATTTGCTTTTAAAAATAATGAATGATCTTATATTAATAATTAAAACCTAAATAAAATGAAATAAACAGTTTAAGAAGGTGTTTATCAAAGAATAAAAAATAAATTATCAATCTTATTTTTAATTTAGATGCAATACGATTAAAAGTCCGTTTATTTTGTACTTTCAGGTACTGAGGCGATATTTCGTTCAAGCTTTGAGAAAGAAACGCCCTTATATAGCAGCCAACATAGAGCAAGTGATATTACACCAAGACAATGCACCGGCCCACATTCTCTAAAAACTCATCTAGAAATTGATTTACTTGGATTCGAATGTCTGAAACATCCTCCGTATAGCCCTGACTTAGCGCCAATGGATTTTGCGGTATTCTTGCATATCAAATCTTTTCTCCGTGGACAAAGGTTCGACGATTTACCTGAACTAATACAGGAAGTAATGAACATAATCTTAAAAATGAAAACAGAACAGTTTGAGAAAATATTTGATGACTAGTTAAAAGATGTAAAAAATGTGTTGCTTTGAAAGGAGGCTACGTTGAGAAAAGTTAAAATGTTGACGTCGTCGAACGTCGGAACGTCGGAAATATTTGTTTGGGTGCTCCGGGTGAGAGTTTCTGGTGATTTTTAAATTGATGAAAATACGATTATTTAAGCAGGTACTGTAATAAAATTTTGTACACTTAATCAGTAAATCAGTAAATTAGTTATATACTTGTTTTATTTATTTGGAACGGGTAAATAATATTTTATTATCAAACTTTACGGACAACCCTCGTATATGGGATGGATGGACGGACAGACAGGGTGATTTCTATATATCCTCCCAACATACTGTGTTTGCAGGTATACAATTAATGTACAAGTTTTGTAATGGTATCCATGTTTAAAGAGATGAATATCTATATAAATAAGACAGTCCTATTTGTCTTCAAAAGGAGGGTTGTTCAAATGTCTTATTCATTATAATTGCATCAAATACAGCTTTAAAATAGTTAATGCCTTGGCATCATGTTAACCTTCGTTAATCTCTTGGTGTTTAATTTCATTCAATGTGAACTTTCTTTTCATCATTCAAAAAAAAAATTTGTGGAAGTGAGCATTACATTATTAAAAAAAATTAGTTAAATGTCTGTTAAATATAATGACTCTAACAGTTTGCATAATGAGCGAGAATTGATTCTTATACGACCGCAATTTTTTGCGTCCTTATAATGATATAGTATGTTGTCGTCGTCTTCGTTGTCTTCGTCTGAAGACATTTGGTTTCCAGATAACAACTTGAGTATAAGTGAATGGGTTTCTATGAAATTGTACCACAAGGTTCCGTACCACAAAAGGAAGGTTGGGACTGATTTTGGGGGTTATTGTGGTAACTCTTTAAGAATAAGGTTGAGGAATTAGGGGCTAAAATGGGGGCAAAAACAAGCATTTTTCTTGCTTCAGGACAATTACTTGTGTATAAGTGTATGGATCTCTATGGCATTGTACCACAAGGTGCTTTACATCAAAATGAAGGTTGGGATTGATTTGAGGGGTTATTGTGGTAACTGTTTAGGAATTAGGCTGAGGAACTATGGTCTAAAAGGGGGCCAAAACAAGCATTTTTTGTTTTGTTTGAGGACAATTAGTTGTGTATAAAAAGGAAGGTTGGGATTGATTTTTGGGGGTAATGACCCTAACCGTTTAGGAATAAGGGCCAAAATGGGGCCAAATACAATAGTTTTCTTATACTATGACCAATTTCAATGGGGTTTATTTCAAAGTCTAGAATTTTTGGGTTTCTTTGATATGCCGAATCTTACCGTGTATTCAGCTTTTTAATTTCGAGACCCACTTTTAAATTTGTTCACATTAAGTGCCAGTCTATGTAAGAATCAAGCAATTTTGAGAAAAATCAAAACATGGGCGGAAAAACCCACCGACCTAACCATCCTATTTTGAAGTTACCCTCATCCTGAGTAAGAAATGGTAGGTCTTTCGTTTGTGCGTGTCTGGTAATTAGAGAAATTTCTAGTTTCATATCAATCCATGAAGGTTTACAAATTTACCATGTCAAAATCCCACACTGTCTGTAACTGTTAACTGTAAAAAAACTAAGTCCATCTATCAGAAAAATACAAAAATGAAAGGAAAATATATCTTCAAAAATTTGCTTCAGACATTATCTCTTAATCATAAAAAAAAGCTTCTGCAAAGTTTCATAAATATCTATGAAGGTTTGATAAAGTAATTGATGTGTAACAAACTTTAACCCAAGACTGTATCTATTTGTTAAATGTAAAAAAAAATTAAGTCCATTTATCAGTAAAATACTGAAAAATGAAAATAAAATATTTTCAAATTTTGCCCTGGATTCGGTCTTTTGGTCATAATCAAGCTTCTGTCCCAAATTTCCTAGAATTCCATAAAGGTTTGACAAAGTTATTGTTGAATGACAAACTTTAATCTCAGACTAAATCTGAATGTTAGTTGTAAAAAAAACTAAGTGCGCTAATCAGTAAAATACGGAAAAATGAAAATAACCATTTTCAAAAAATTTAGCTCTGGATACTGTATTTTGGCCATAAACAAGCTTCTGTCCAACTTTCTTAAAATTCCATGAAAGAGGGACGAAAGATACCCTTCCGGAGCACCTGAGATCACCCCCAGTTTTATGTGGGGTTCCTGTTGCTTAGTCTTTAGTTTTCTATGTTCTGTCATCTGTACTATTATTTGTCTGTTTGTCTTTTTATTTTTGGCCATGGCGTTGTCAGTTTGTTTTCGATCTATGAGTTTGACTGAAAGAAGTTGGAAAAGTAACAGAAAGTGCTATTCCAAGTGATATTGGTGATCTTCAGTGAGAAATGAAAGTTATATTGAAATTTCAAATAGAACAGAAAGGAAATGAAAGCGCTATTCCAAGTGAAATTGTTGATCTTCAGTGAGAAATGAAAGACCTATTAAAATTTCAAATTGAACATAAAGAAAAAGAAAGATGAGGAAACAATTTCCCTTAAGTTATCCAAATTGGATTTGATATCATTCACTAGCCACAAAGCTAGTTAGGTGGATTGAGTTTTGGGACTCTTTCGAATCATCAATTCAAAAAAATACACGTCTATCAAATATTGTGAAATTTAAATACTTAAGAAGCAAATTGCAAGGACAAACCAGGCTTGCAATATCTGGGTTAACACTGTCTAACGATAATTATGAGCTCGCTGTTGGTATTTTGGGAAAGAGATTCGGAAACAAACAAGATGTAATTGATTTACACTACAACCAAATGATTAATTTGCCTTCTGCTACACATAGAACAACAAGCCTGAGAGATTTTCTTGATAAAGTAAAAATACACCTAAGAAGTTTGGAAGTGTTACAAGAAGATGTGAATCAAGATGTGTTTATTTCAATTGTGAAATCAAAACTACCTAAAGAAGTGCTATTACAGTTAGAAATACAAAAGGACTCCATAGAAAAGTGGACGATTTCCAATTTATGTGACAAGTTGAAGGATTATGTGATAGCCAGAGAGAAATCAGGGGTAACAGACACCAAAAAGGATAGCAGACAACACACGCAAAATGTGAATCAAGTAGATTCAAACACTTGGCGTCATAAACCTTCATTTAGGAAAAACGGGAATTATTCAAAACCAAGATCAGCAGAAGCTTTAGTAGTTAAGGTAAGACGAACATTACGACGACAATTTTTGACAAATGTCGATACTGTGGTGATAAACACTGGAGTGATGAGTGCCTAAGGTACAAGAGTATTGATAAAAGGAAAGGAAAACTCAAAGGGTGTTGTTTTAAGTGTCTTAGAGAAGGTCATAAGTCAGTGGACTGTAAACGGAGAAAATTGTGTATTTATTGCATTGAGGTAAATTCCAACCATAGAAGTTTGTGTCCGAAAAAAATCTGTTTGAATACATCAGGTGTTCATTTGTCGTAAGAATTAATAGTAAATAGAAGTCCAGACAGTGAATATTTAGATAAAACGACGCTTCAGAATGGCCATACAATGGGATATAAAGCAGATGAACAGGAAAACGTATTCATCACATCTAGTGAAATGGTTCTTATGCCAACTGCAAAAAACCGATGTCAAAAATGTTGGCAGTCCTTTACAGCAGACAACATGTGTTCTTTTCGATTCAGGATCCCAAAGGATGTACATTTCGCAAAGTTTAGCACAAAAATTGAAATTAAAGGGTGAAAAGGACGAAAAAATTAAGCTAGTTACATTTGGAAGTGAAAAAGCAAAAGGTGTGAAAACATGGAGCACAAATCTGGAGATAAGATTGAAGAATGGAAAATACTTTAGTATTGTGGCAAATATAGTCCCAGTTATCAGCGGAAATGTACAAAGAAGAAAACTAGATGAATCAACAATTACCCATTTGAAACAATATGTTGGTGACAGTGAACTTGCTGATGATATACCAGTTGAAATTGAGTCATCAAGTATGGATATACTGATTTGAAATGATTATTAAAATTGAGAATGGAAATGGGGAATGTGTCAAAGAGACAACAACCCGACCATAGAGCAAACAACAGCCGAAGGCCACCAATGGGTCTTCAATGCAGCGAGAAACTCCCGCACCTGGAGGCGTCCTTCAGCTGGCCCCTAAACAAATATGTATACTAGTTCAGTGATAATTGACGTCATACTAAACTCCAAATTATACACAAGAAACGAAAATTAAAAATGATACAAGACTAACAAATGCCAGAGGCTCCTGACTTGGGACAGACGCAAAAATGCGGCGGGGTTAAACATGTTTTTTGAGATCTCAACCCTCCCCCTATACCTCTAGCCAATGTAGAAAAAACAAACGTACAACAGTACGCACAGTAAAACTCAGTTTAAGAGAAGTCCGAGTCCGATGTCAGAATAGGAAACAAAAGAAAATAAACAAAATGACAATAATACATAAATAACAACAGACTACTAGCAGTTACTGACATGCCAGCTCCAGACCTCAATTAAACTGATTGAAAGATTATGTCTTCATCATATGAATATCAGGCACAATCCCTCCTGTTAGAGGTTTAGTATTATACCGTCATAAAATATATGAGAAGAACATAACCCGTGTCATGCCAACAACTGGTTTTAGAATAAATATGTTTAGTTCCGATGCAAAGACCCTATAAGTGAATCAATATTAAAGCCAAAATATGCAATCTTTAATGACCTGACAACAGTATCGTAACTATATCCCTTCTTAATAAGTCTGTTTAAAGATTTTGTTAGCTTTTGAGGTGAATACTGACATTTTTGTGCTTTGTAAAGAAGATTGGATGTGAAATACCCGAACGTATAAGATGTCTGCATGTTAAGTTATATTTACGAATGATGTCCTTATACCGATGATAAAATTTAGTAAATGTTTTGACTAGTTTATGATATCGAAAACCCTGGAGTAATAATTTTTCAGTAATATATAAATGTCGCTCGCTAAAATCTAATACGTTGTTACATACACGAGCGAATCGTACAAGTTGAGATATATAAACACCATAAGTATTATTCATATTTAATACTTTTAAAAAGAATTGAGGTTCAACCTGGGTTGTACCTTCTTGCCTCAAACCTTGGCTGGATAATTACAGGAAGAGCAAAAGATGCTTCTGATTGTAAAGATTAAACAGGACTGTTGATTCTTTCACATGTTATTAGTGATGTTATTTCTAGAAAGTCGGGTGTTATGCCAAGGGAG